CTATCATCACCACTACTACTGATGAGTCAAGCCAATGGGCCTAACTCATGCTACGGGCCCAGTCATAATTAAAAGAACAAACTTATAAAGATCCAATATCCAACCCAAAGGGATCCACACCTAGTCAAGCTCGCCAAGAGAGTAAGTAGGATCTCCAAGAGGCTCCTCCAAGCCACCTTGGAGTAAGGGTCATCCAAGAGCCACCTCCTAGCCACCTTGGAGTAAAAGTCATACAAGAGCCTCCTCCTAGTCACCTTAGAGTAAGGATCATCCCAAGGGCCTCATCCAAGCCATGCTGGAGTAAGGCCATCCCAAGAGCCTCATCCACGCTGCCTTGGAAGAAGTCAACCAACACCTCATCCTTTGACCAAATTTTGTGGAGAGCACTATAACTACCTTATCTATTGAGAAGAGGTCGTCAACTTCACCAGATTAGCTATTTAGTTACTATTAAGTCACCCCAATCTGGGAAGAGAAGACTATAAATTGTAAGTCCCACCAACACTTGGGGGGCAAATTATATTCAGTCGAGCACAACTCTCCTCTCCCTCTCATAGCTTGTAACTCTCTTCTCTCCTCACTCACTTGAAATAATAAAATACTCGACGACCGTAGCCATTCAAAGTGGACACGGGTCACGTTGATCGAACTGCTATAAATTCTTGCTTTGTTTTTGTCTCCATCTCTTTACTTAAATTACCACATTTATTATGTTTATTTGACAGGTGGTGTACAAACCCAATTTGTGCATCATTAACTACCTTTGTGATAGTGATGGTAGGAATAAAATAATTATAGAGAGATGGTTAAAAAAATGGTAAAATTAGAATAAAAATAATTTTTAGACTTCAATTTTTTATATTTGTCAAAGAGTTTGATTCAATTTAATACTTAAATTTTAATTGATACCTAAATTTCAATTGATACTAAACAATTTATAAATTAAAAAATTTAACATTCAATTTTCAGTATTCAATTTTCAATTTAATCAAGCACCACTTAGCATGAGACTTAACCTCTTCATATGATATTTTGAAGGTGATATATAGACATGGGACCTAATTTGTGAATATATCGTTAGCTTGATATTTTCAAGGTGGTTTAAATGTTGATTTAGACTTAGACGCCACTTCATACATGCAAGTCTTTAGTCTCTCTCTCTCTCTCTCTCTATATATATATATATATATATATAATACAATACAATTCAAATATCAAAAAATAAACAAAATAATTTTTATTTTTTGCCGATGGCTAATATTAACATCCCAATTTTAATAGAGAAAATAAGTTCTTAAAGATGTGTTTGAGGTAATGTTTTAAAAATACTTCAAGAATTTATAACTTTTCATATGTATTTTAAGAAAAAAAGTTAGTATTTAAAACTATTCCACTATCACCATCACCCCACCACCCATCATTACTACCACCACCATTGTCCCCCCACCACCACCACCATTACTACCATCAACGCCACAACACCACCACGTCTACTACAACAACCACCACCACTACTACCACTGTCGCCACCCCCCACAACCACCACACCCACTGCCCTACAATCACCATCACAACTACCACCGCCCCTATCGCCTCATCACCATCGTTGCCGCCACTCTACCACCATCATCACCCCACCAGTGCCCCAACACCACCATCCCCACTACCACTACCACCACCGCTGTCACCACCTTACTACCATCGTCACTGCCTCATCACCACCATCACTATTATCACCCATGCCTGCTACTAACACAATCAGTTGTCATCACCCATCACAACTATCATCTTATCTCACCACCACCACTGTCGTTAACCATCACAACCACCGCTCGCACCCTATCACCATTCCCACCCACCACCACAACCAGAGCCAGAGCTCGCACACCCCTATAATCGGTGCTTAAATTTCTTTCTATCTCCTTTATCTTTATAGTTTGATTTTGGGTGTGAATACAAATATATTTATTGTTGTTTTTTTTATTAGTCCGTGCCTTCAGACATGAGAAATAACTAGTATATATATCTGACTAGAAGTACATCCAAAATGTAAGTGTTTTTGTCCATGGGCATATTTTTCAGCTTTGCAGGGATTAAAAAAAATAAAAACAAAATTATTACATATTTGGCAAAAAAAAAACTGAATTTTTTTTTATTAAAAATCAAACTCAACTTATTGAAATTATGAACCATGTACAGATTGACATGCTTTTTGAGATAATGAATTACCCAAGGTCAAGACTGACTCAATATAAATTGGGGATTTTATGCGAAAAATTTAAATAGAGCCCACTTAAAATTGAATAAAGATATAATTTTTTTTTTGAAAATCATATTTTTCTTGTAGTTGGTTAACAAATTTGTCAAGGACTTTTATTTAAAAAAATTATTAAATTGATTCATTTATTTTTATCTTTATTTATGCTTCTCATATGCCAAATCATATTTCTAATTGACATATTTGAGAAATACAATAAAGAAATATTCAAAGCATTAAGTGTTTGCAGCCAATCTGTCACGCTGGTCCTGTGGATCATTGGCGGGCAACCGACACACTGGTTTCATGGGCCTCAACGGGCCAAATCATGGTTCATGGTCTTTGCTATCGGATTGATGGTCCGTCCCCAAAAATCGGGCCAACCTATGTGGACCACGAACCTTTGACCGAGTTTTATCCATAGAACCGAATATAAGTTTCAGTATCAGAGTTGTCTTCAAAAACAAGAATTTTAATGTAACAATTAGATATTTGGTTTGAAACATTGATTGCTCAAGTACATACATACCCTTGCAGCATTTAGCAACATTCCTTCAAATATCTCTAGTACCGTATCTACATATGAACACAACATCTAGTATATACTCTCCTTGTTCAATCTTCATACAATCATGCAATTAGTTGCAGCCAAAAAACTTAATTTGTTGCTCTCTTTTAGAACTTGTTTTTCTATGTAACATTAGGTTTGAGCTTATGATAAGTATCTCTCAAGCTTATACGCTCATTCGGAGGATCAGAAGTACAAGATAACCCAACACCAGCGATTATTTTCAAACAATCACGTCATATTTATGAGCTTATGGATTGATCATCACGGCAAAGGTTTTCAATGTCTGAAAGTAGCTTAGGGTCCAGAACTTGCTCCATGTTCATTGGGAAAGCCAGTTGTAGCCATTTCTTTAGGCTTAATCCTTCTACAAAGCTGTCATGGGTTGGACTCTTTCTAGTGAAAAGCTCTAGCAACATAATTCCAAAGCTGTACACATTAGGGGTGTCAAACATGTCGGGTTAGTTTATTTTGTGTCGGGTTGATTTTGAATTTGTATCAAAAATTTCAAAATCCAAACTTGACATGTTTAATAATTGTGTCAAGATATGTAAATACTAATCTGACATGACTATTAAACGGGTTACCCGAACCCGACCTGTTTGATACGTTTGACAAACAGGAGGTTTTTTGAGTTAACACACATAACATAGTTCTGTTTAACATACACAACCTGTTTCCACACTAGTTTATTACCATAATATACATTATTCGTCCAAAATTTCAAATAATTTTTTTACAAATAACATCTCATATATCATCAATGAAATTAACTAAAATGCATTCAAGTTTCAATCCAAAAATTAAAGCAAGAACTATACTACTATATTATCATATAATGTTAAAGAACTATACTGCCAATTATTATAGTAAAAGGAAGAAACTCTGGCAGCCTCCTTATCCAGCACCCCCAACCTCTTTCCCTAACTACGGTGCCCCCAAACCACCTGCCCTAACTCCGACAACCCCCTAAACTTCCTTTACGAACCCCGGCAGCTCCCAAACCCTTCCCCAACTCCAGCGCCTTCCCCCCCCCCCCCCCCCCAACTCCGACAGTACTCCAACCCCCATACCCATGTCGATTACACACCAATTGAAACTTCTCCCCCTTTCCTTTTTCTTTCTTATTTCTTCTCCAACCACTAGACCAATAGACCAATTTGTATGTGTGTAAAGATTTGTAAACTCTCTCTCTCTCTGTCTCTCTCTCGGGTATATTTCTTTTGAGGGCGTTTCAGTAGTGGGAGGGGTTTTGTTTGGGAACTTACTGTTAGAGGGTGGTGGCGGATTTCACTTATAAAGGAAGTGAGTTCAGTTTTTTATACTTGGGGGTGAGTTTCACCAAAAGAGGAAGAGAATTCAACTGCTTCGATTTGGGGGATGGGGTTTACTGAAGGAGGCATGGGTTGGGTCTTCTCACCGGAGCAAAGAGGTTCCATGGGTACTTGCCGGGCTTGTCCAATTACTTCAACCCATGTCGATTCCTCCAACCCCCCTCTTGCTCCGAGAGTCTCTTACCCCATATCCAATGCTGGTAGCACCCCAAAACCCACCTCCACCAGCCTCTCCCATACCAGCACAAGCAAACTCCCAAGCCCCACTTCATAGCAACCATTGAATCGATCCAGTCAATTAGGGCACAACAACCATCAGATCTAGTTGTGTGTGTGTGTGTGTATATACGAATCAGAGGAGGGAGTAAGTTGGGTTTCACCAAAAGAGGGAAAACAATCCAGTTGTTCGAGCGTGGTGGGTGGGGAGGGGTTTCACCGGAAGAGGGAGGGAGGGAGTGAGATAGGATTTTGCTGGTGGGGTCAAATTGGATTTTATTTTATTTTTTTCAAAACAAAATGTTTGAGATATGGATAGTTTTGTACTTTTGATCAATTTTAGATAATTTTTGAAAAATATTTTAACATTAAGGGGGCAAATTGTCGAATTTAAAACCTGAGGGAGTCGATTGTAATATAACCCAAACTTGGAAGGGACATTTTGTAATTAACCCTATTATTATAACACTAATTAAAATCGATCATACTCTACTACCACCACTATTTTCACATGCCGAATACAAGCAAAGCTTTGGGTAGCCTTCCAGATGGACTCTAGAGATATTTGAGAAACCCCACCGGTGGGAATTTCACCTTCAAGGTTGTTGAAAGAGAGGTTCAACAGTTACAGGGCATTCAAGTTTCGTATTTCAGGGGGAATTGAATCAGAGAGTTCGTTTGAGGAGAGGTCAAGAGTTTCCAAGCCTTTCACTTCTACTAAAGTATCTGGAATAGGACCTGAGAACATGTTGTTGGCCTTTAACAGTTTCTCCAAGCTCTTACACATTCCAATTGACATGGAAATGTTACCTGACAAATGGTTGCCAGAGAGGTCAATTGTGCCAACCCATTCTAGGAATCGAACCTCTTGAGGCAGAGGCCTAGATAGGAAATTATTATAAAGTATGAAGAAGGTACTTAAACTTGGGAGATTGAGAATTTCTTTGGGTATGCTTCCATTTAGCTCATTATTAGATAAGTCCATTGAAAACAAATACCCAAAATTCGCAAAACTTGTGGGTATGCTACCCACCAATGCATTCCGTGATAGATCAATATCATTCAACATTTGAAGATTACCCAAAGAACTTGGAATTACGCCGGAGATACGATTCCTACCAAACCCAACATTTGCAGTTTCTCTAATTGGCCTATTTCTTGGGGAATTTGACCCGAAATTGAATTGTAGCTCAAATTTAACAAAGTTAAGCCACTAAGGCGACCGATCGAGGCTGGTATACTACCATGAATATGGTTTCCTACCATGTATAAATTTGAGAGAACCTTAGAAAGATTGCCTCTGGACTCTGGAATTACACCCTCTAGAAGATTGCTATCAACGGCAAGAAAGCAGAGATGGGTACTATTTGTCAAAGAAGTAAGGAAATCGAGACCCTTTTCACCAGAGCTAGCGATCTTATTGAACTCAATGTTGTACATTTGAAGATCTGAATTTCCCAGTCCTGGTGGTACCGTCCCATCTAACAAGTTGTTCTTCTTGCGAATGACTTGTATCTTTGTGAGGTTGTGCAAAGACCTTGGAATAGTTCCAATGAATTTATTGACGCAAATATTGAAGAGTAGAAGATTTGGGAGCGTAACTCCAACATCGTTAGGAAGAGCACCCCAAAAATTATTGGAAGCCACCGCTAAATTCACCAGTCAAGACAAGTTGTATATGGATGGTGGTATGGTGCCAATGAGACTGTTAATGTTGAGATCTAGGTGCTTCAAATTTCGAAGACGCGGCAGGTCACTGGGTTTCAATCCAGCTAAAGTGTTGACTATGGATGGTGGAATTGCACCTGAGAAGTGGCTTCTTCCCAAGTTCAAGACTTGGAGTTCTACGGGAATTTTTCCTGAAATCTCATTCTGCATCATGTCAATGATCCTGACCTCCTTGCACCGGCTTATATTTCACGGTATCGCACCTTCTATGCTGTTGGAGCTCATATTCATTTCTGGAGGATAAGATTGCAGCTAAAATAAAAAAAAGGGTTGCAAGGTAGGGGAAATTCATGACTCTGGAAAATTTGATCTGTGGTTACATGAGAGAATGGAAGGAGTGGATGAGAAAATTAAAGGAACACATGGGTATTTAAAGAAAATCATTGACTGTCCGCCTACCATAGCTTTGAATGAGGAAAAAGTAGGACCTCGATTGTGTCTACTACTTCTATGTTCTTACCCACATTATACTAATGATGGACACCACCACTTATACACAAGTTGCTCTCCTTGAGTTTAAAGATTAATGTTTTTTTTTGTTATAAGGTGTTTAGATTTGTAGCGGTTACTTACTCGAACTCAGTAGATGGCCACCGTGACTTGATCTCATCTAAACATGTCCCCGAAGGGACAAGAATGAGTTGCCCTTAGGTGGTGTTTGGATCACCATTGGACGATTGGGTTGGATTGGATTTGAATCCGAACTCAATCCTATCCTATGCAAAATAGTTTGAATTAGAGGATTATAAACTAATGTATGAAATCCTATCCCATCTTTGGATAGAAACCATTTGATTTGTGGATCTCATTCACATGTGAAGATAAAACATATTAAAATGACCATTGTACCATTGTGTAAATTAATGTAATCCAATCTTATATCATGTTTGAAATGGAATGAAAAAAGTCTAATTCATTAATATTGTCTTATTTAGGTAAAAAAATATGCATCAATAAATTACGTATTTTTACAAAATATTGCAAAAAATATTTTTATTGTTTACTTAATTTAATTTGTTCAATACACTTTTAATCACAAAAATCATATGCATTATGCAAAAAAAATAAATAAATGTACAACACGAAAACCAAATTGTAATCCGAATATTATGCTTGTACATAATAAAACGACAATCGTAAACAAAAGGCTCTATTTTACAGTTGTTCATACATTGTAAAAATAACATTCGCTAATTTATATTTACAATTGATAAAAAATTCCCATGTATTTGGGACATAATAACATTCGCTAATTTATTTAACATTCTGCCCATGGAATTGTTTTTATGATCTTAAAAATTTTATATGTAAAGAGGCCCAAACATCACCGACCAAATCAGCCTATGGAATTGTTTTTATTATCTTACAAATTTTAGATGTAATGAGATTGCTACAATTTTATAATTGATCACCCAAGTGCAGGTTGTCCCGAAAATAATATAATACTCGAAAGTCTGAGGTCGAACCACAGAGAAGTGTAACAAAAAGCAATCACGAAAATACCAAAGAAAATTTGAGAGAACAATTTGTGTAAAAAAATTGTTGTGTTGAAAATATTGATTGGAGATATTTAAAAAATATAATAAAAATGCTAGAGCATCAGGTACTCCCTCTCAATTCTATACAATAACGATTAAAGACTCAAATCTTAACTTAAGACAAGAATCAGATGTCAGTTGATTCGAGTAACAAATTAAGTAAGAAAACTAAAAGTTATAATCAAAAAATTATTCAGGAACCTGCATAATCATCCAATTATATTATTTTATGAAATAATGATAAATATCTCAAACGTGGAATAATCAGTTATTTACTCGCAGAGAAATTCAAGCAATCGATGTACATAGCACAACGACTCAAGGATTTTTACAGAATAAAAAATTTGCTAAGAAATCATAAGTTAAATTAACAAAACATCATAAATCATTAAACTTAGAATCAATAACATTACCGTACTTCATTGAGAGATTCTCCCCTAACCCTAGCTTAGTCTTCTAGCCATACATAACGAATAAAACAAAAATAAAAATATGGGAAAAGGAATAATAATAATCTCTAAATGAGAACCCCTATTTATACTAATAATAAATCCTAATTACAAGTTGAAAGGAATTTTTTTCCAAAAAAAAGTCTAATAAGGTTAAATCCCGTGCATAAAATCTTTAGGACGTGGGTACAAAATTTGTTCAGACTTCGATTTTGGATTTTGCATATTTAGAGGCTGAATCACAACAATTTCGTGAAATACACTTTTGTAGATCTTGAAGTCTTCTTGTTAACCTCCAAAAATAAAGTAAATCGGATACCAGAGTCAAAAGTTATGACCAAAATAATGAAGACGTGTCAAATCCTTATCTTTTAGGATACTTTCCTAATCGAACTCTAAATGAATTTTCTTTCAACTTGGAATCTTATAAGGATTAAATTGTTATCATATCTTCAAGTCTTCCTATTTCAATCTTTACTTTTCAATCCTTATTAATTATAATTCTTCCTCTAGTGATTGTTTCACTTGCATTATCTATTATTACTTTAAATCAATCAATTTACCTGCAAATAAACTAAACAACTAGAAAAAGTGTTAAACTGAAAAATCAAAGAATTTAACACATTTAATCACAAATAATATGTAATTAACCAATCATTAAATATAATTAAATAACAATGTTGATGATTAATCAGAGACCAAACACCACCGACCAAATTTGCCTATGGAATTAACAAAGACAAACTCTCTGTGTATCCCTAGACATCATCTGGGTTTAAAGTGCACAAAAAGAAGCTTCGACTTCTCTTTTAGACAGAGAGAAAGAGTGAGAGAAAAAGAGAGAGAGAGAATAGATTGGGTCAAAACAAGGAGCTAATCTAGATCTTACAGTTGCAGATCTATTACTTCCATGGACATACAACACACAGATTTGCTCAACAATGGTATTTGGAGAGTTCCAAACACCACAATATCAAAAAAGAGATGGATTATCATGGAGAGAGAGAGATCTGCTATTTCCATGGAGTTGAGCAGTGACAGAGAGATCAGCAACTCAGAAAGAAAGAGGTAAGTCATTCGACTATATTTTTCAAATGTTATCCTACTTCACAATTCTGAATCCCACACAACAGAATGGTTTGTTCAATAGCCTGTAGAGGAG